TGTTGCAGCCGATGGGCATGTCGGGCAGTCTGACCGCGGCGCAGTCGCAGTACCTATCACAGCTAACGCAGCAATCGCAGCGGCACGATAATAGTAAGATAACCTTATATATTACTGCTCAGAATACAAAATTTTAGTTAGTCTTGGTCCATTTCTGTGCCAAATTTCATCCAGATCCGTCTATCCGTTATTGAGTTCATGGAAATAGTATAAACCAATTCAATCTTTTACATGTTTCATATCGATATATTTATCGTTTTATTCGCTGGACATGTACCGACACAATAAGTCTCTTTTTGACATTTGCCTACACAAATATAATCCATACAAGTACGCGTTAACCCTTAAAAGATTGAAAATGTCCTGTAAAGATGACAAATGCCCTCTAAACATAACAAATGCCCTCTACACATCACAAGTCTCCTCTAAAGATCACAAATGCTTTATAAAGATGAACATATGCAGGTGTGTACACGAGCAACTACGGCGTGTACGGCTCTGCTGACGTCACCAGCCAGCGCAAGACGCCGCGCGCGCGCGTGCCGCCGCCCTCCAAGGTACAGTTACTGGCCTAAAACTCCGTACTGTGACGTCATAGTACACATATACACGATACAGTACAAATAATAATTATTGTCCGGATTTATAAAGAAAAAAATGACAAGTAGGGTGTTCTACCAGATTTACATCTGTGATGAATTTCATCCAGATCCGTTAGCAGTTTTGAAGATATCTAGTAACAAACATAAATTCATTTATATTAGTGAAATTATAAAGAGGAAAGATTTAGTTGATTACTAAACGGGTAAGTTATGGATATGACAGAAAATATATGAGAAGCACATTTTTTTGCCATTTAGACGAAACTGGGGCTGATAGCTAGTTTTATATTTTTTTTATTACAGATACCATCATCTGCGGTGGAGATGCCCGGAGGCGGTGAATCGAGCGGCGCTATGTTCCTCGACGTTCAGTTCGGAGCCCTGGAGCCCGAGACGCTACACGACACCGCGCCCGCGCAGCCCCAGCACCAGGTGCCTCCTCAGCACCAAGTGCCGCCTCAGCACCAGGTGCCACCTCAGCACCAGGTGCCGCCCCAGCACCAAGTGCAACACCAAGCCCAGCACCAAGTGCAGTCTCAGCACCAGGTGAATAGTTTTAGTGACGTCATATAGTCTAAGGGCCTGTCCCACCACTGTCTCTGTTCTGTAAAATATAGGTAACGCATCTGAAACTTACTAACTTGATGTAGATGCCTAAAGGTAGGACATGCTTCGCTACTTTGGCAAAATGTTTGCCATTGATGGTCATAGATTTCGCCAGAATTTCAAATTTTAATATAATAATTTAAAAACAGGTACCGTCCCAGCACCAAGTGCAGTCGCCGCATCAAGTTCAGTCCCAGCATCAAGTGACGTCACAGCACCAAGTGCAGTCACCGCACCAAGTACAGTCTCAACACCAAGTGCAGTCGCAGCACCAAGTGACGTCACAGCACCAAGTGACGTCACAACACCAAGTGCAGAGTCAGCACCAGGCGCAGCACGCGCCGCAGACACATTCCCAGACACCTAAACAGGTCTGTATTTTAAGACAATAATGTAATTGTAACAAACTAAATATACTTCTATACTAATATTATAAAGATATATTTCTATTTTTGTATGTATTGAAACAACTCAACTTCTGAACTGATTTCAACAATTCTTTTACCATTAAATACTAATAAATTATTACGAAGTAACATAGGCTACCTAAATACTTTTTTTTAATTCCGGGCGGAAGAAGTAGAATAGACAGCTAAATAATATAACATATTCAGAGTTGGTAATTACACAAAAAGGCTACACCTTGGTCTAGATTTATTAATACACTTTGTTAAATATTTCGAGTATGTAAACTAGGGGACTCCTATAAGCGAAGCTATAAGCGACTCCCAGTATGGCAATTGGTTTCAAAATTCAAAACTATATAATAGTTTTTGGGTTTTTCTAAAAACAAAGCGTACCAAAAGACAGAATTTTCGTTTATTGTTAAAAAAAAACTTATATCCTATTGCTTGTTACCGGAAATATACAGAAAACATCGAACTATTCAAGAATAATTTATTACTAGCTTTCGCCAGTGACTCCGTCCGCGTAGAATTAAAAAAAACAAAAGTGAATGGCCTATGTGTTCTTCCAGACTATCCTTTACATTTATGCCAAATTTCATCGAAATCTGTACAGCCGTTTGGGCTACAAACTCTTAACAAACATCCATCCATCTAAACTTTCGCATTTATAATATTAGTATGATTTAAAATCACTCAGCACAAGTGCTGGTCTTCCGCGATAACTGAAAATAGATGACGTTACTTACAATTTATACAAAGTGATGTTTTATACATAAATAATGATAATATTTTTAATCAAAGACCTCATATCCTTGTATTGATATGCTACAAAACATTTTGCAAAATTATAACAACCTTCAAAAATCAATTTTATTTGTGAACTTTTAATGTAGAATATTGAATTCCTCTAAGCCTGGGATTTTTATATTAGTACTAGCTGTTGCACTCGACTTCGTCCGCATCAAATTATGAAAATATTATTTTATTGTTTACATTTGTCAAATTATCAATAGCAAATGTCAAAATGACATGACATGACAAACCTTGGCAATCTTGCTTCCTTGATGTTGGCAGCAACTTATGGTCTCTTTCCCACATTAGGATTTTTAGCCAAAATATTTACCCCCTAAGTTTAATGCCGTGAAAATATATAGCCTAAAGCGTGACGTTAGTGTAGGGCTTTTTATTAAAAAAAGAATTATTCAAAAATATGCTGTAATTGCTGACATCTTAGGGAACAAAGAAGTGTGTGTTTACTCTTTATTATAATAGTATAGATATTTTTTTTGTTTATATCCAGGTATCGGTCGCAGAGTCTCAGCCGGCGGCGAGCAGTCACGAGAATACAGTAGATGTTCCCAGCAATAACTACCACAATACTAACACAATGGTAATTTATATTACAATACCTTTACGACTGATTACCTAGAAAGAGATGGATGGATTGTAAAGGTGACATGATCAAGAAGGGATGACAGATGACGGATGGTAGAGTGCTTTGGAGGACGAAAACCCGGTGCATCGACACAACGGGAGTAGGATAAGGCAAGGGAGATGATGATGACTCATTTACCACTAATTAAACTATCGCACTACTGTCTCGTAGTCTCGCTTTGACGCTGAGAAGCTTATAGAAATAGCTTATGGAAGTTAGACTACTCGATTTTTAGTTGTGCAACTAAACACTTGAAGATCTTAAATATTCGAAAATCGCACACCAGTTGTGCGATAGTTTAGTCAAAGGTGTGTAAATGATCTTAGTGTAGATATCATACTATATACAATAACAATCCCTCAATAACCATTTAGGAGTATGGCAGTAAATCCGTGGTCTCTGCCTACCTATCAGGGTTACGAGATTGAGTTACATAGGTGAAAAAATAATTAATAATCTATAGTGATAACATAAATTCAAATAAAAAACGTTTATCGGTAACGAGTGTTTCCCGTTGGGCTGTTCGTCCTAACGATATTTAGATCATTAGGACGAACAATAAAAAAGTGTATTGGGTCGATTCCTTGAGTATAAATCTAATACAATATCTATAGTGTAATAATTTTTTTTACAGCTAAGTGACAGCTTATCGTCAGTGGACACGACGGCGACGAGTCAACCTGTCACCTCAGAGCCCGCGGTCACGAACGCAACTTGTAAGTCCTGTTTTTCAAACATTTAGTATGCACGGCGCTAGATCTTCACGACTGTTTGGTCGCGTGGTGTAAATGTCGTGCGACATAATGTCGGCCCAACGTCCTCCTCCACTACGCCCCATGCTCTAGTGGTCGGATGTTAGCCGAACATAACAAATGTTTAATTTATATAACATACTTATTGTCCTTTCTTAAGCGAAGATTAGCTATACATGCGTGTAGAATAAGGTTAGATTAGCGATGGATTCTTTTTATATATCCCGTTTTAAACGTAACTTCAACGTAAATGAAATATAAATAGCTTTAGTTATTTTGAAATTTAGTAAGTATAGCAGATATTAAAATATATACTAATCCATGTATGATTGGATCACAAAATAAAGTAACCTCTGGAGATCAATTATTTCTTTCCTCGTCAGTCGATCACGATCCGCTCGGGTAATGATTTAACGTGATTGTGGGTAAAAAACCTAATCACAGTGATTCGATCACTCATGATCGACATAAATCTAAAACGAAGTAGAACATTATTATTTATTTAATACTTTTTGCACAAACATTACAATACTTATACTAAAACTAAGCTATTATAAGATTTGTGTAAAATTAGTTATATAAGTAAAGTAAGTTTCTATGGTACCTTGTTACAGCATTAGAGAAGCAACTATCAGCAACAATGAAGCAGATGTCAGTGTCAGGGGCGGGGGCGGGGACC